GAAGAGGAAAGAGAGAAAGAGACAAAATGCGAGAAGAGGCCACCGAGGAAAGGTCAGAAAGAGAGAGAGACGACAAGGATCAAACCAGCGATGGGACGGGCTTTAGGCCTCTCCTGCTGCATCGCCCCAGATCACGCGACCCGGGCGACTTTCTCAGATTCCGTATGCAGACTACAATTGGGTTCGCGAGACAATAGCAATACAGACAGTACTAGTAGCTCTACAAGCCTCTACAGATACTTTTTCGCACTCGCCCGCACCCGCGAGTCAAAGACTGCACTCCGGATGGGCGTATGCGCCGTGTGGAACGGGTTCAGCATCGTCTGCGCAAACAATCAGTCCCGGTCGCGAGGGCCTCCTGATTGTCGCCACTGCGGCTCTCACCTTCACGTACAGCTCCCAGACGTCTACGAAAAACGACTTGATCCCGTCGTCGTTCCGCGACTCGTGCAGCAGAATGAACTTCATGTCTAGCACGTCATGCCCTTCGCTTAGCACACTGCTTCGCACGAAATGAAAGCACAGAAGTTCTCACTGCCGGGCGTAACAAACGCAGACACCGTCCACTCGTTGAACTTGTCCACAGACTTCAGGTACCTGCCCGAGCGTCCCATCCCTAGTCAGCATTGAAACCAGACACAGAACCTCCTTGCGCACATAGCATTCTCCTTGCGCATCACTTCCTCAATCACGTCCAGACTGGCATTTGCTATCATCTGAATGACATGTGGATCCTTTCCCCCGCCTATCCTGACAGGTCCGCTTTGCGTATTGTGAGATTGGATCGCACTCGACGCCCCAGATAGCGCAGTCAGTGTTCCCGCAAATGCAGACGTCGACCAGTTTGGTAGATTGGCCGACAATGGCGAAGTGGTGGCTTGCACCGGCTTTGAGGAAAAGTGTGTTAACTCATAAAGCGGCGTGTCCGAGGGTGAGAGGATGTACAAATGGTGGGACATGGCTGACTGCTCAAGCCTCAACGAGCAGCGTTACCTTCGTTGCTGAAGTTGAACGTTGTTGAACAGTTGTTCAGTACAAATGTGTCAAATATAGCGGTGTGTCGGCTAAATGTCGGGGATTCCTGGCTCGTTAGAGACAGGTTACCCACCTTGGATTTTGCTCCTTATCGATTGCACCTTTGTTTGTACTTGTTTGTACCAGATAAGATAAAGCCGGCCACTTCAATGAACTCACCTCCTCCTCTCCTGAGTCCTGATATTGCGGAAGGTCAGAGTGCTCGCGCTCCCTCTTTCTTGGCCCGTTAGAGACTGATTCCCCTCAACACTTCTGAGAGTTCTGTGACTTAGCGCTCGATACATACCGAACATATGCAGTAATGGAGAATCACCAAACCATGCACTCTACTATGTATCTTCTGTGAGCCTAGCAGTAGACTACAGGGTCCAACCCAGAATGTGTCCATTCAGCAAGTTCCCTCAGAGAATTGCGCTATCAGTAGATCCTGGACAGTACTGGTGATTGTGTCACTGCATACAGACATGGTAAGTTGTGAATATGCACACAACCACTTGAACCTTGGTCCCCTGTCCTGTAACACCTTCTCTGAGTTGCGCCTTTCATACTATTCTCATTTTGTACAAGGCAGATGAGGAGAATCGCTCAGGCTGCCTCATTCAACTAAATAAGTACGCCAGTATCTTATTAAGCAGAGCTGCATCAGATTTGCCGCGTCCGATACCAATCCCTCTCAATTTCAAGCCATCGTTGAAGCTTGCAGAGACCCATCAGGCTTTCTCAACATACCCTGCCTGTCGCGAATAAGGTTGCGACTGTCCAGTGTTTTTATGGCAGCAGTGTCACCGCCAGGTAAGTAGGCTCAATCTGACTGGGAGTTACCACTTGAAAGTTCCGCTCAATTCAAATTCTTTGCGCAAGTGCGCAAGGATCTATTGCCTGTTATGTAAGTAACTATAGTAGATACTACTAATATACTGCTTTGTACACAGTATAGCTTGACTATGGATATGGTTTTCAACAAGAACAGATTTTCCGTATAGCGTGACCTGAATCACGTACCAACGCCGCACGAGCCAGGATCCGCCGGCGCAGCGGCCTTTTCGAGTACATCAACACCCACAAATACAGCTCTTCTCGTCAGTTCTCGTCGCATTCAGCTTAAGGTTAGGGTTACCGCTTGCTCAGATGAACGTTTACCAACGCTCCTTGGCCTCCATCTTCACCAGATGCGCCCGCCTGCCAATCACAACTAGCACCCGTTCTCTCCATGTCTCTCTCTCCTGGAGATCTGCGCCTACACTCATACTACATGCACGAAAATGGTCCAGTAATCCACACTTGTCTACTGGCCTAAGCAGTCTCCCCACAAAGGAATCTCCCATTCTGCAATTTATCTCCAACAATGTATGGCGAGCTACTCATAGGGACACTCGTGTACAGGCAGGTCGTGCTCGGTCTTCGTGGGGAGGTCCCCCGCCACCCAAGGGACCGTGGCACCGGTTCCGTTCCTGGATAGATTCCCTACCCCGCGGTGTCATCCTTTGGGGTGTACTCGCTCTCAACGGAGCGGTATTCGTAGCATGGCATATGGCTTGGTCAAATTATGTACGCCTGTAATGCTGAATACTGTCATGCTCCAATAACCGATGTCTTCAATATTTCACAGAAAGCTGGGAGAGATATCAGTCTCGTGCTCTGGATGCGAGACAACTTCACAGTGAGTATGAACAACATCAAGTCAGGCCGAATGTAGGTACCTCACTTGCCCTCCATCGACTTGCCATTCACAAATGCATTCAATAGCTGGACGCTATTAACGGCGTGCTTCTCCCATGAAGACACAACTCACATCTTCTTCAATGCTTTCACATATTATTTCATGGCTCCCTCGGTCATGTCCATCCTGGGAAACTCTGCCTTCCTCGCACTTTACCTAGGAGGTAAGCGTATTCAGTTGTATCTAGGGTGCTGAAGGCGAGGCTGATCCAATCTCTCAGGTGGTCTTGTCAGTAGTGCGTTCAGTCTCATGTGGCATGACTATGTTAGGCATTCGCCAGGATATACCTCTCATGGAGCAAGCGGTAAGCAGCATCGCGAATGTAAACACCAGGTATAGCTGATCTTCATATATACAACTCTAATCCAGGTGCCATTTATGCAATAATCTCGTTCCTTGCATGTGTAGCCCCCAAAGCCCAATTCCTGTTCTTCGGTGTCATACCCATCCCTGCATGGGCTTTCGTGACAGGCGTGTTCCTTTACGATGGCTATAACGCTGTCGTAGACAAGGTATGTGTTGCAATTTGCTAACGCTAGTTTACAATTGACTGATCCTCCTGACAGCGTAACGGTACGGATACGGCAGGACATATTGGAGGCATTCTGGCTGGGATTGGGTACTATCTCCGTTTGCGCTTCAGGCTCTTCTGAGACGTAGGAAGATGCATTTCTCCTTTGCAAGTTTTACCATCCATGTAACTATATCGCACACCACTCCAGAATAATAATTCTATAGTCGCAAAAAGGAGAGAGAAAACGAAAGTGTTCACCAACGCAACGCATAAATAGAACGACTTCAAGAGCTGAACCACCTCCTCAGGAGCATCATCGCTGCGCCCTCTGCACCCTCGCCTGTTGTAGGCAAAGGGTCTTTGACGCCGATTTCTTTCACGATGTAGTAGCTGAAGAAGAGCACCTTGAAACAAAGTGCAACCGCGGCATGGAGAATCACGAGGAGAACGATTATGAGTCGCACTGCTTTCGCGTCGGCCTATCACATCATAAGTTAACCAGATATACAGGCAGCGGAAATGGAACCGAGATGATGCACGTACTGAGGCGAGAATTGGGTATACGTTGGCCACTAAGAAGTAACCGGAAAGAAGGAATGCGATCCCGACCAGTATCCAGCGTACTAGTGGGATAGGGATAACACACAGCAGCTACAGCGACAAGACTCGCATGAGAATGGGTTAGCATGGATGACGGCTCAAATATCCACTTACCGAGACGGGTATCCAGATGAACTGGCCATACCCCCACACAGCAACAGCTTCCACGACACTCCACTCGCCAACACCCAGGTACCTCAGTCCTAACCAGAGCAACACCGGGATGGCTAGGCCATAAGTATACACCAGACCTACTGCCGTACTCAACAGCCCAAAGTCGTACTCTATGGGATCGGTCGGGGAGGAAGCGTCTGGATCAGACAGGTAGGCCGCGATAGACGAGGCGAGGGAGGAGCAAACGAATAACGCAAATATCAGGGTTGTCAATGTCCAGAATGGACCGTAGAGATCAGCGGCTGGCGTGAGATGTTGGGTTAGGTAGGATGATGAGGTGGGTAGGAGGGTTGAGTAACAGCGTCGAAGGACCTATTGAGTGTGCAAGCCTGTCAATGCAGGTAGTTAGAGAATGACGGAAATGCACACACTGTTTTGGTATCTACGTCAAAGTAGGGTTGGTAGTATTCAATAGTCCAGAACCCTGTTGGTTTCGAAGGGCCATCTGTTGTGTATCCTAAACAATATATTAAGATTATAGACAATGTCATCAGGACGAACAGTCCATACCTCGGCTGGCATTCGTTCCCCCTGTGGTATTCGAGGCATTCCGTGCATCCGTTCCTAGGAAGGCTATAGTTAGCTGTTAGCAGAGCCCCCGCCGAGGTTATTCATGTCAGTAGCAGCATTGCGCGAACATACACTGAAATTGGAGGCCCTCAGGCCCTTCCTCCATGCGCTACATCGTTTGTGAGCTCCCTTCCCGGAAATTATGCACATTAATGATTGCATACCTCATCGGATTCGATTGAAACATACGCCATAGTGAAGGCTCCAGCGAAAGATGTGCGGTTCGACCAGGTCACGACTGTGCTTCCCTTGCTCTCGCCTCTCCGCCACCAAACCACGGAGAAGTGATCGCCATCAGTGCACATACCATAAATGGAAGGCGTAGTGTTGAGGGGTAAATTACGGTGGCAAAACCGATGTAGAGCAGCTATGCCGGCTATATTCAACGCCCGCCTAGCTCAATCGGATAGAGCGTCAGACTCTTAGGAGTGCGGGTCAGTACAGATTCTGCGATCTGAAGGCTGCGAGTTCGACCCTCGCGGTGGGCTATGATACTTCTTTCAATAAGGCTGTTATTTTTGTGTTATTTTTGCCTTCCTCTCTGATAGAAGGTTCCCTTCTCGTCTGAGCCTGAGATCTGGACTACAAGATCGTGAAGTGTAAAAGATGAACAGAGGCATTGGTGGTAGTGGGAAAACAAATGGAATTGTCTTTAGCATCATAACATTGATTAAACATTCAGTGCTAATCCTAGTGAATACATGTGTTTTGCCTCTATGCTACAACATGCTGCGAACTGAGCACAGCACTGGTAGTTCTACTCAGTGCTACGCGGTTGAGATAGCAAGGCCAGATATCATGGACGAAATCTCAAAAAAGCTTGCACATCCATATCCATCACTAACTGCTCTCCAGCCGATTCCTCTCAATAGCTTGAGCATCCACAACCTTCTCCATCGCTTCCAACCACACCTCTGCTTGAGTAGTAGCATTCGCACTCGTCGCGGCTGCACCACCCGTCTGACCTCTGACTGGCTTTCTGGGTACGCCATTAGGTGAGGTCAGCCTTGGCTGCAAGGTTGGCATAGTACCGATATAGCGAGCATGGGCTAGGACTGGTAATCTGCGAAGAGATCTGCCTGACATCCCCTGAGCCTATAGGATTCGCGTCGAGGATTAGTATACCGGAATGGCAGTGATCAGCGAGACTTGAAGCTTACCCGGCATTTCTCAGCCAGTGATAGTAGCCTCAGAGATATATTCTTTGACCGCTCTCGCCAGTCTTGTTGTCCGTTCGGTATATGTGCGTTTGGGTGCAGCGTTGATGTAAATGTTGCTTCAGGTTGTTGGCCGTTCGCCGATGAGTTCGAATTCGAGTTGGAGGCGGTAGTTGCGGTGGCTTGCGTAAAGTGTGCCGTACGTTCATATAAGAGGGCTTGAGTATGGCTGGGAACTTCCTGTGAAGCGTTCATATTCGTTAGGATGTATTCGACTTGTGTACGGGCGGTGAATGAACTTACCACGTCAGCTACGATGCCCTTCTTGACCAGTTCTGATAAGGAACTTCGGAGGATCTCGTAGATCGCCTCTCGCGGCGGGAGGTCCACATATTGTACGATATCAGCTCGGTCGATGAAGGCGTTGTCTATCAATCCACTTCAGCGAGGTTTTCCTTGCAATTGAGCGGAACTTGCATTACCGATGGCTTTTGCGAGATTACTCGTGGACATGATCAACACATTTTTCCTGTGCTTGAGTTTATCCAATTGTGTGAGAAGCGCATTCACTACTCGCAAGGCATCGGATGGTTCTGTCCCAGCCATAGCACCTGCTCGCGCAGCTGTCAAGGATTCGACCTCATCTGTGCCCAGGTAGCATAACAAACGGTCAATGGAGAATGCGGGGAAGTGTGGTTACGACTCACCGATGAGTACGATCACGAACGTCTCCTCGTCCTCTACCATATCAGTGACGGTAGCAAAGAGCTTTTGTACGAGTTTCCCGGATTCAGAGAACCATCGAGAAAACAGTGAATGAGAATTAATCTCAAGTAGACGTGCGCTCGGATATCTATCATCGCAGTGTTCCATTAGTTATCATATTTCTAGAGCGACATATTGACATACCGATCTGAGAGCCGGATGGAGAGTTTCTGGGCCAATGCGCGGCATAGTGACGTTTTCCCAGTGCCAGGAGGCCCATGCAGGAGTACCATGCGATTCCACGAAACAAGGTTAACTGAACGAACGCATGCACATGAGCAAGAAATTAGCAAAAGAATAGCATATACTCACAATCGACGTCGGCATCGCTGAATACGACAGTTGCGTATATATAATCCAGCAATTTGTTCTTAATATCGTCCGCATATATCAAGCTCTCCCATAGGCCTTCCCATCCCAAGCTAGGCAGCTCGCACACAGAGGCGGCCATGACATCGTCACCCTCGCCTCTGCCATTGCCACTCGCCAATTCTTCAAATGCGTCGGAATCAGAGGGTTGGTATACATGTATCTGCAGGGTAATTTGATCCACAGGGAGAGAGGAGGCAGAACTTGGGGATTCCGATGCGACGATTTTGTCGACGGAAGACGCTAGAAGTGGGACGTCTTCCCAACCCTGGAGCGTGGAGGGAAGATAGATGTGGGAGAAGGAGGACGTGATGTAACTGTGTACTGCATTTCGGATTGTATCAAACCGTGCTGTTGCATTTGGGGACACGCGTACTTCGACTGAAAATCAACGTCAATGTCAGTGCGGTTAGATTCTCTTTCAGTTCTAGTACGCACTGTGCACTGGCCATGTCTGTGTGGAGGGCAGTGGACTGGCTGGCGACGCCATCTTATAGTCCAGTTCGTTGCTCATTTTGAATTTGTGAGGCTTCAGTGGAGAACAAGATGGAGTTGGCGGAAAAGATGCAGAAGTAGCCACACGCAGATCGCGTGCCCGCGTAGGCGGCGGGACCAAACAACGCGTACACACGATCACGATCATCCCTTCACGCGCGTCACGGTATCGCGCACTGCCGGGGCGTGCCGTGCTTGTGGTGCAAGTGACCAGAAACCAAGCCCAAGCTCTCGGCCTCTCGCGTTTGTAAGTAACCTCCTGTGTCTTGCGTACTCTCAACTCACTCCTGTACTTCTGTGAAGAGAACTCCGAGCAGAGGTACCCTTTGCATAGTCCATCATGGCAGACCCTGGAACTTGTGTGGAATGCGCACCTGCCGATGCACAAGCCACAGAGCCCGGAAGTCCATCCTTGCGGATGCGCCAGGACGCGGAACTGAAGGATCTCGAGTCGGAGGTTCAGGAGCATCCTCTTGATCCTACGACCTTCATTCCTCCCGCGCCCTTGCCAGCACCCTGCATTACCATTGAGTTTTGTGACAGGGTAAATTCACTTGTCATTTGATCTATCATCCCGTGCTCATGGCTCATATGCATCTTCCAGTGCAGATGGTATGTCGCTTGATATGGTTCAAACCATACGAACTGTCGATGCTGATCCCACCTAACCAATTTCAGGCTGCACCGAGCAAGTTGGGTATCGACTGAATTGTTCTTGACATTCCCGCCGCCCGCTCTGAAGGCAGTCACTCTCATCCCCCTCAATGCGGAGGAGACAGCAGGCCGATTCCGTGTGTGGCTCTACATGCACGGACAGGACCCTGTTCTCATGTGGGACAGAAAAGTCGAAGGCGGCTTCCCTGAACTCAAAGCCCTGGTGAGTTTGATTTCCCCCTGGTCCCTTTGAATTCACCCCGCCCAAAATGGTCGTCATCTGTCGTGACTGACGTTCTCGATAGAAACAACGTATCAGGGACCGGATCCAGCCTGGAAAGTCACTTGGACATTCGGACAAGTGAAGCAACCTATGATTGGCACGCACGTTCGACTCATGCGACGTCTAACCTTGCACTGTCTGCCACGCCCAATTGTACGCATTCACCCAATACGCGGAAGGATTGTACGGAATCATTTTGTATACACCACTCACCATGTAGCTGTTCAAACTGTAGTATTCGTCTCGAGACAATCAAGCATACTAAAAGTTGTGTTCACCAAGGAATGGTTGTATTCCCGCAACATAACGACTAATACCGGCCCTACGCTAGATACTTCTATGCAACGAAAAGCAAATTCGAAAGAACTAAACGAGTGTACTGGTTAACTATCACCTACTGTGTTGTTATACACAGTCCATGCAGGAAAGATAAGTGGAAATGATAACTTTACACAGTGAATTCCGGTCGACTTTTAGAAGTCATGTTGTACAAACAAGGTCCGTTCGATGCCTATGATACCCCATTCTCAACTCTAAAAGATAAATAGTTGAGGAACAGGTCAAAGTCCAATAGATGCTTCTTCTCGACCCCCATAATCAAATCTGGCGGATGGCAGTGGTGGAGATGATTCCAGCCTGACAGATCCTGGCCGTGCCCACTGATGCGAAGCACGACCTCCAGGAAGCTCTGACATCATCTCCTGCTCGTCTTCCTGGTTTGAGAGGAAGGCTTCCGTTTCTTCACGCGATAGAGGCTCGTAGCCGAGTTCCTCATCAACAGCCTTGCGCGCAAGCCACGAGAGGTAGATGAATATGGCAACGCAAAGAGCAATCCCACCAATGCCATAGATACGACCCAACATGTTCTGTCTCTCCTCATCCTCCGCTGTGGACGCATGGTACTCCGCAAAGGAGTGTATCGACCCGCCGATGCTTGTGTGAATGTAGAGTTTGAATAGCGAAAGAGCCGTGCAGATCGTGTATGTTCGTAAGGTGAGCGTGGGGGATGCAGCGAGCAAACAGTTCATGACGTTGAAGGGGTAGGGCGCGAGGCGAATGAGGAAGAGGAGCTTGGGCCGCTTCTCGATCGCTCGAACCACGCGTTTCATAGTGATGGTACATGAGAGCCAGCGGGAGATGCATTCGCGGAAGAACGTGCGTGATACGACGAAAACAAAGAGTGCGCCTGCGAGAGAAGCGAAGTAGGAGATGACTGCGCCAGTCAAGGGACCGAAGGTATAGCCAGATAAGATAATGAGCGTGGAGTAGAGTGGTAGAGGAGCTAGCGTGTACGAGTTAGGCGACTGCTGCGGACAAAATTTGAGATGAAATTCTGGAAGCACTTACGGATCGTGGTGAGGAAGATCAGAGCAAAAATGACAGCACGACCGGTGTATTCGTCGGACCGTAACCAATGCGAAAGCTGGTCTAGGCCTGCGCGCAAAGCGGTACGGTGAGTGTCTGAGACAGCGGGCAAATAAGAGCGGCAACGGACCTGTGAATACTTCTGACTTCCAAAGACTGACAGCAAGTAGAAAGCCCAAGGTGGTGATAGCGTACAGTATTATAGGAATCCAAGGTTTAAGTAGATTAGCTATCCGGAGACCCCTTGGACGAGTGTACGCGGGAGAGGAAGCAATGCGAGTAGAGACCGAATATGAAGAAGATAGAGATATCGACGGGGAGACTGAGGGAGCGCAATGTGATCTTGGTGAATGCGGGGAAGGGGGCGCGGTGTTATAGGCTTGAGGGTGCAGATGCCCGT